ATATAAGGTTGCTTTTATAGGCGGGGGACGAGTTTCCCTTCTCTTCTCTTTCTATCATTTCTTAATTACTAAATTTTATTTCATTTAATTGTATATTAATGTGGTGAAATAAAATAAAAAAATAAATGTAAAGAGAATGAATTCCTTAAAAAAGTGTTAAAGAGGGAGGAAAGAGGAATGTAATAAAAACTTAATTAATTGAAATATATCTTTTGTATTCAGTTCAGTCATTGACAAACTTTTATGGTAATCTAAATTATTGATCATCAAATTAATTTGTAATGAGAAAAATCAATTTCTGACATTAAAGTTAGTTTTTTTTTTTTATTCAAAATAATGCTTCCCTTTCGGGACACATGGGGTGCGTCGACACCGTTTTAATATAATACTTATTAAATTACATTATACATTTTTACAAAGACACATTTATTAACATCTTCTTTCTGCTACTGACTCTTAACACCGCTCTCTCCTTCTACTTAGTTCTTTCATCCATTCGATTCCCTTTCCTTCTTCTCCCATCAATACTTCTATTCTCTCTTCCGTTTCCGAATAATTACATTCCTTCATTACATGCATTCCTGTTTCTTTCTTTGTCCCACATAATCTGCACATGATCTTYTCATCCTCCTTTATCTAATATCTACTTGCCCTCTATTCATYTCCTAATCTAAACCTTACCATCATTTTYAGTTTTTGTCCTTTACTTTTCTCTTGCAGGTATTTTGGTAGCCCTTCTATACTCCATCTTCTATATTCCCAGTTGTAATTCGATTCTTCTATCCTTTTWTGACATTAAAGTTAGTTAACACATTGACAGCCGRTGACGTACGAGACATTCMACGCCTGAGCGCCGGCACCGTAGCGGCCATTTAACGCCCCAACGCCGGCCGTATTCGCGAATTTCTGATCATTGAAAAGTCCAAAAAAATATYTAAAACATTATATATTTTCGTAAAATAATACATTTTATTTGCATATTCGTCATAAACAAATTAATAGTAAGTAAAAATTTAAACAATCGAAATTATTAATTTATAATTATAAAAAAAAAAAAAACAGTTTCTCATTTCCTGGTAGATTATTACATATATAACGTAACCTCAAAACAAAAGTTTTAATATTTAACGCAAGTGTGATATTTCTGAAAACACTGTTCAAGATGTAAAGGTACTAAGCATTCAGCACACATAAAGCTACTCTCGCTTCTTTTTTTACCAGCAGCGCAAACTCTACATGGGCGTCGTACGTATCGGTTTTTTGTCCCTGATCCCAAAATTCTGGTAACTTTATGTTTCTTCATATCACCCGAAAGTCTCTGGGGACTATCAAATTTTGGTGTGCGAGGTGTAGGAACAAGTACAGTACTTGAAGTATCAGAATGCAAAGTACAAGGAGTATGAATTAACACTTTGACGACGTCCGCACGATTCGTAATTGTTTATTCGCTTGGCGTCGGCAGCGCTAATGCGGATCACTTGACTTCTCGCCGGCCGTTTTCGACATTATCGGGAGATTATATATTGTTAAGTTTTACTAATCTCATCGTTAGTTCTCATAAGTTCTCAACCCTGTTCCCCTACTTTCATGAAATTTCAAAGATATACATATGTAAATAAATACAAAATTTGTTTCTTTTATATATTTGTTTATTTGCATTTTCTTTGGTACTTAGTATTTCTCTTTCATGTGGTACGCAGCAAATCAGTCTCCAAGATGTAAGGCAACTCCACAAGACTTGCACATTAAGTTTGTTATTTTTCTTTTTTTTGTTTTTGGAACATACGTGGCAGTTTCTACGTTTTCTTTTATTCGTTTCGGAAATAAAGACTATTTGGTGATGCTTTATGTGACCGGAAAGTCTRTCAATCAGATCATGATGAGACGCACGCGATGTAGTGACAACTTCCAAGTTTTTCTCAGAAGCAGGTACATTGTCTCTTATCCACGAATCGCACACTTTCATTAAAAAATCGTGAAATCGGAGGCTCTTCTGTTCTTTATTGAAATATTAACATGTACGRAATGCATTAAATAATGCGCAATTAAAAAGGTACATGCAAACTTTTTTTGACCATTTTATAGATTTTCTGTATATAGGGTAATAACTCAAGTATTGGTCTGCCCGATCCACTCCTTTCATGTAATTGTTATAATCTAATACACTTACAGGTTTTTTTATTGTGCAATTAGTTTTTCTACATGTTCTTTGCGTGTTAATCAAAGTGGCATTATGTATTGTAGAAATCATTCGTATCGTTTTAGTTTTCGAAGCTCTTCATACCTGTGCGAGTACTTCACCTTTCCGTTGATGACAAGCTTCAAATACATTGACATTTGCGCGCTTTAATTTTTCCGGAAATCCTCTATTTTGCCTTATGATTCCACAAACTTTAATTTTCTTCTTAAGCAAATTTTCTGCAAGTTCTACACTGTTGTAATAATTATCCATGTAGAGGTGATGCTACTTTCCATAGGAAGGTGTCAATAGTTCCCTTACTGTATTTGCTAAAGGYTGTCCAACGCCGGAATATATCTTGAATGAAGAAATGTWTTCCRTAATCGAATCACACATCATCCGAATGAGTATGCCATATTTCGTAATTTTCGACGGATTATAAACTTTAAAATTCAACCGTTCACGCCACGGGATCATTCCTTCATCATTTGAAATGTTTTTACTTGGATTAAAATTTTCAWTAAACTTTTTGGAAAAGTAATCAATTATGAATTGCACTTTGAAAAGCCGGTCGGCATTATTCGGTTTATTGTTGTTGTCAGAAAAATGTAAAAATGATAATATTTGTCTGAATCGGTTGCGGGACATCGTTTTGCGAAATATCGGTGTTTCTATCAACGGATTTGTTGACCAATAATCATCGATCCTTGCTTTTTTTTACATTACCCATAAGAATAGCAAGTCCAAACCATTTTCTCAGTTCGAGTGCCGTAAAATCTACAAATTTAGCATTTTTTTTATCCTGTTTCMTTTTATCGCAATTTTGACTGTAGTACTTGTTGGTCTCATTGCAAATATATTCAAATAAATCGTTCCCAATATATAATCCTGTGATATCCTCGAAGCTTTGCGTATCCTTGGGAAATATGTTTGGACCYGGAGATCCTTCAAATTCATTATTGGTCCTCGGTAAGTCAAAGTCTGACCATTGTGCACTGTCTTCTTCGTCTGACTCTTCCGAATCAGTTGGCAACCGTAGCGCTTGCCGAATTCTTCTTGGAAGTATTTCACTATCCTCCGACGATTCTGCATCACTGTCACTTTKTTGATTTTCAATGTTTTCCAAATCGGCCAAGCCGTCCGGAACGTCAGACAAGACGTCCGCGCATTCGTCGAAAATATTTGTATYCTCTCTTTCGTCTACTATGATAAAAGGGCACAAGAATTTATATAAATAAAAAATTTGATCMATTGTGTAACTTATTGCTACCGAAACAAAGCACCAACAGAAAGCAAAAAGTGCTGTCGCCACCCACAAAACAATGTATTGCACTCGACACCAATGCAGCGTTGCCGGCCGTTGGCCGTTAGTTTGCGCACATCACCACTGTGGTGTCGCCGGACGGCATAGTGTTAAGTCTTGAGCATTTGCGAATTCCTCGATCCAGGAACGTCCAACAGTATATAAAAATCGTTTATATTTTATAATGTTACCATTTAATTCAGTATATAATCTAAATGCATTAAACATTGCCCAGTYTAAAAGAAACAACACTGTCTTCTTTGTCYACTTTACAGTTTTTTTTTATGATGGAATAATATGATAAATATTGATCTGCTAAATTTACACCCATCATATATTTATTATACTCTGTGACAGAATGCGGTTTTATAATTTATTGTTTCGTTTTCCAGTGTGTTTTATTTATTTTCATTAATTCTGCTGAATGTATCGTGGAAATCATGTATACCACCTCCTGTTTCGGCTTCCACTCCTGTACCAAAACTTCACCCGTTCTTTTTTTTCATCTATATTCTCCAGTTTTCCATTTGAGATGCCGTAAAGACTCGGGAACACCCCTATTTTGTTTAATTGTACCACAAACTCGTGTACCATCTGTCATAAGCAATTCTGTGATTTTAATACTATTATAATAGTTGTCCATGTATCGTGGGGCTGGCGCTCAAACACAAAAGTMGGAAATCCGCGTTTTCGCGGGGCCGGCTGTCAATGTGTTAATTTTTGAAATYAATTTTGTATGTGTTTACATTGTAATAGAGTAGATAACTTTTTCTGGAKTGTTTATGAAATTGTAAGCAATATAAGCTGTTACATAAGACATTTATGGCAGAAAGTGTAGTTAATAACTTTTAGCTGAACAAAAATGATATATTTTTTTTTTACATATAAAATAAAAGAAAAATGTGATTAGTTAGAAGTTTAATCTTTTGTTGTTTACTTATGGGGTTATTCTGGTCTGGAGGCATGAATTTTAGGTACTTTTTCAAGTGTAATAATATTATCACTATCAATAATGTTTCAAGATATTTATTAATATTTCAAGAATACATGAAACAAAAAATTGTGGGGTTCAGACAGAGAGAAATAATAACTGATGATGAAATATAATATATGATATGTGTGATAGTTTATTTAATTAATTATGATGTGATGTTGAGCGGTATTTACAAAAGTTTACAAAAAAGTGGCGTGGTTACGAAAATACAGAATACAAAAAAAGTTATRAATATAAGACCGACACTGACTGACTGTTAAACTGACGGATATATAGATATGCAGACTGATACAGGATTAAAAACTGATAGACTAAGGAACTACTTTCTTACTTTCTTTCATATATTTATATCATAAATGAGTAACACACCTCTTTGCAGAGGGAAGGAGATTATTAATATTATCGGCCAATAGYAGAAGGATTGACCTCTATGGTCMACCGATGGGTACATCCTATGGTTTTGGTAGTGGAAACTATGCGTAAAGGAACTTTGTCTAGAGTATCAGAATATCATTCCTTTTTATGGTATCGCATGTGTTTACATAGGAATCCGAAACCTCTCAGAGGGCCTGACACTGCACAAAGGTTTTCGTTGCACTAATATATCTCGATAATTCTAAAGTTTGTTTAAGGGGTTATTCTGGTCTAGAAATTTGAAAAAATTGATTTTTTTTTTCATATTTTCAAAGCTTAATTTTTAAAGAAATTATTAATAATTATGTATTTATCAATAATTAATAAATAATATATGGCGTGTTTTTGACCGGGACTACCGGTTAACCTTAAATGATGCTCTAACCGCGCGCTCTCCGCGCTCTATCTCGAAAACGTTTCAACGTATAAAAAAATTTTTTTAAACGAAAGTTGTAGAAAATTTTTTTTTTAACTTTGGCACTTGAATATTT